TGTGATATTTAGAATGACAGAAGCAGGAAAAATACACTGAGCTTTATCCCATGTTACATGGGATAAAGCCAGTGTCAATTAGTTTTTGGATTCTACTTTCAAACTGGGTGAGATTAAATTAAGTCATGTCATGCTTCATTATGGTTTGTTTACATGGGAAGGTAATTGTCATTATAGTTTCACAGATGTTTGAGTTCCCATCCCAATTAACATTCATAACAAAGTTTCATTTAACATAGTATGTTTTAAGAACTTTTTTACTTTCTTTTCAATACCATTTACTATTTCTGGAGCACAATTAACCCTTTAACTCCCAAAATCTCATTAGCAATTCTCCTTACTGTCTGCCATATAGTTCTTGTGATGTTAGTTTCGATCAACTAATAGTCCCCTAATTAATATTTTTCTTCGTTCTCATCACTTGTCTGCTTGATATTGTATTGATATTGTAAGGAGAAATTCTGTCTTGGTCACACATGGGAGTTAAAGGGTTAAAGAAAGCAGGTTATTAAAAAAATATTACTTTTCATTCAGGTAATTATTTGAATATTTGAGTAATATTGATGTTTTTACATGTAACAAGATGATCATGCTCAAGAGAGCCACAATGAAGGAGTGAACTTTACTATAACAATTAGGTGACTAATTTGGAAACTTGAGCACTTGGCTTGCTACTCTGATGATTAAAGTTTGCCGAGGTAATTGAAATGTCATTCCCCATACAGGAACCTTCCACATGACCTGTATCATTAAGTCATATGCTATGGGAAAACTTTAGAAAATGCATTTGTGTCGGTAGAAGTATTGTAAGTACAGTACCACCTAGCAACAAAAACTAATGATTTCCTGTATACATGAATGTTTGGTAGAAGTTATGGTAATAATTGACACTTTTTTGTAAGGATGCATAGAGTCTGATTGTAATGTATATCTTTTAGCTCTCAAACTTTCAACTTTGTATTAATCGTAACTGTTTACCATATATATTTCTCTGTAACTTCAGCCCTCAAAAGTTGAAGCAAGTGAGTCAATACCCTGACTTACTTTGTTTGGAATTATGTGATTATATACTCTTGCTCAAGCTTCCCTTAATGCATGGTGTTTCTTCCCAATGCTCATACCCAAACTAAACCTTGATATAAGGAATTGGTCACAAGATATGTGGGATTTTAAAGGATGGAGAACTGGAAAAGCAAGGATCCTCTTTCAATTAGGACTGAACAGGCTTAAACTACAAGTTTAACAGAAATCTGCATGTGCATGTGTTTTCAACAATAAAACCCAGATTATATGCCATATAGGTACAATCAGGTGTTGGAAGAACGTTTGCTTGGCTTTTTCATTAGTAAACATTTCTTTTTCTAAGAATCTTGTTTATCCGGTCCATGCTGAATTCCAATTTTTCTTTTCTTTTGAATATTCTTAGATCTCCTAGTATCAGTTAATATTCATGTAATTAAAATAATTACATGAAATCTTCCAGATGTATGGAATATTATTTTTTCCTCTGATCCCCCTAACATTTTATTATGTGTTGGGATTGGTATTGGCTATAAAATTAAAGTCAAATTAAAGTTTTGCACACAGCCTATGCATCAAATTTATGTAATAAAATATTGTATCCTTCTTAAAAATAGTTCATCAGAGTAAGAATGAGTTACTAGGCACAAATATGGCTTTCAGGATGAAAGTTTCCAGGTTTGAAAAAAGTCACTGCCTACTAAAATCCTCAGTTACTTTGCCCTGACAGCCTAACCTCATCAAAACATTGCCAACAGGAGCAATTAGCTCATTAAAGATACAGACAAGAGAGCCTATTCCCACATACACCCTCCTCACTCCTGTCAGCTTATTTTGGCCTTGGCATTTCAAACATGGTGTATATATGCCACAAATTTTCCATTTCCCTGACTAATTATTATTTTTGCTACAGTGTTCATAAGTTGTGGAAAATGGTTGGGTTGAAATATAATACAAAGACATTCCAGTAGATAGTCAACCGCATTTGATCATATCCTCCTTAATTTGGGTAAAAGCGAAGAACAGTTCCCAAAAGATACTGTCTGCCACCTGTCGGCCAACTGTCGGCCAACAGTCAGCCAACTGTTGGCTGTCTGTCGGGCGACTGTTGGCCAACTGTTGGCCGACAGTTGGTTAACCGTCAACCGACAGTCGACCGACAGACAGCCAACAGTCAGCCAACAGTTTTCGTTATGTTGCAGACTTTTACCATTAATTTGTATTACACAAATACTAAATATTATTTCAACTTTTTACATATCAATAAAATTTATTGTTGCATTTCATGTTAACATGTTGCAACAACCCCACCTTCCTGTAAATTCAATTAATGGCAAACATGAGAAAATGCCATCTAAAACTTTTCAACCTATTTAATATGGCCACTAATAACATCAACTCAACTTTAACCTAAATACAAAACTTGATTGATGTTTGGAATTGATTTCTATGATGTGGAAATGAAATCCAGGTGGTATCTCAATTTTTCTTGAATACATCCACATTATATGCAGTTACAGCAGAGGCCACCGAATTAAATAACAGAAAAAAATCAGAAAAAGACGTCGTGTATTTCCAGCTAGAGGAGAATCTTAAAACATCAATAGCCAAAAGCGAAAAAGTTTTAAAAAAACACGATTTGAAGATTACTTTTCTTTTTAATTTTCTACGCTAAACAGAGGAGGTTCAAACGTTAGGGAAAAACGGAGGGGAAAGCAGTCATAGTGGATATAAGAGAAACACATACGATTCTGGCGTAATGCTTTCCTGACTCACTGTGCTCACGTGTACACTCTTCAATCGACCGATGATGTCTCAACGCAAAATAGTTTACCGTCTTTTCCTTCAATTTTGGATCATTTTCTCACACCGAAATTATAAGTTACGCTCAATAGAATATAATTTCAACTAATGCTGACGTCATACACTTCATCTGAAGAAGAAAACATTCCCTATCTTCGAAAATTTGCTCAAAACGTCAGGAACAACAAAGGAAGTCCTAAGCTTTTTTAACATACCGCTGCCTAGCATGCATGTTGATTACTTTGCAAGTTGTGAGAACATCGTCCCCAGGTTCCAGACCTCGTCAATTCTTCCCCCCCTCCCCACCTCCCAAACTGGTCTCTCAATCCTGTTAGAGAAACTCTGTTACAGTCGGTGCTGAAGAGTTTTATTGCAGTTTTCATTCAGTATAATGAAGGGCTGGAAAATAAACTAACAAGAGCTCCACTTTTAGGCTTGGCAAAATCTATATAATAAGAAATGAGTCAGCCAGTCTCTTCGTTTTGGTGGATGGCAGTTGATATTTCCGTTTCTTTTCATGGTTGTATGTTGGCTTGTTGGAGGCTGGAGTTAGGTAGTGGATCTTGCCAGAAGAGTTGTTAACTGTCGACTGAAAGAGTTGGAAAATAAATTTTCTTGATGATCGTGTAGGTTGTCTATTCCGGCAAGCTGAAGGGCATTTGCGAATGATATCCTTGGAAAATGCACGAGAGAACTTTCCTCTGGACTCTCTCTAGTTCAACTTGTAGATACTTAGGTAATGCGTAATGTAACATTGGGCATGCGTAGTCCAACGCAGATCTAATACATGCACAGTAGTAAGCTACAAGATCTTTGGAAGGAACATATGCCCGTTTGAGCTGAACAAAAAAATAGTGTTTTGGAGATGATCTCGTAACAAGTTCTTCGATGATCTTTCCAAGTTAAGTTCGAGCTGATCGTAAGTCCGAGTAACTACTTACTTCAATCTCGTCTGCAATTTCCACATGAATGTTGAAGGAAATGTCTCGCACTATCAGTAATTCTGCAAGAATTTCAAGAAACAAACTTCGATCAGCTTTAGCCATTGGTTGTTGTTTGCTTGATTTGAATGGCGCCCTCAACCCCTTTTTTTTTTTTTAACCACAAGCGTCCCAAGCTCACGTCGATTGATTTATGAAAGCGTCACGCGTTGTGTGACCCTGGGTTATGTTACGAGAGGAACTGTTGAGAATTTGAACACGTTATGATAAATAGTATGGGAAACGGAATATGGTCCATTTACAATGATAACTATTTCGAAATATGAACATTCTACACGTAAGTCAATAGAACTTACTCACATCTTGTGTTTCCGTTGTAGTTTCTGGCGATTTCTGCCGTTCAAGCTTGCTTTGCCGTCACTGTTTCGTGACGTCATGACGGACTAAACTGTCTATGGCCCGGACTGTTTGCTGGGTACTGGTTTTTAAATAAATGATAAGCAATAATAAACACCAAACGAACGCCTTGTTAATTTCTGCTCCCGCTTCCCGTCCTCTCCCGCCCCCCGTTTGTCCCTCTCCACTGTCTAGTTTGCACGTCAAATACGTAACAAGAACCCGGGCACCAACACATCAATTATCTTATTACGCATTTACATGATGAATACCTTTTCGTGCATTTAAAAGAAAGTCAATTCATGATACATTCTTAGACAGAGATAGAACAAAACTGACTCTCTCTCCCCCTACAAATTTATAACTCCTCGTCGCACCTCATTTCCCGCAATTACGTCGCGTCTTAGTCCACAATGTAAACAGGAATGACCTCATCTATATACAATAGAAATAACCAAGCTAAATTTAAGATTCTAGCTTTTATAAATTTAGCTTTAAAATCTGCATGCTAAGGTTTTGAGTACCGCTTGTTTTATTAAATTGATTTCTTTTGAATTTGTTGCCATCGATTTGGCAACAAGAGTGCAAGAGAATTCAGGAGAAGTCGCTCCGTGTTAGGTGCGTTTGTCATATTAATCATTTAACGTCTGGAACTGAATAAAAAATACGTCTCCAATTTTTCATCTATTTTGCTCTGGGAAGAATCGAATTTCCACATAGCAAATGAAATTGAGAGACGAATAAACGAATTAACAAATGAAGATACATTAACCAATGAAAAAGTAAAACTCTCTAAAAAGATGCAACGTCATGCTTTGTTTACACCTGGCAATAAACAATAAGAATCCGTTTATGAAATGCTCCCCATGATCAACTGAAGCTCTTAAAGTCTTTTTCGCTGCTTTGATGTGTTCTTAGAGTTCCCAGCCAGTGAAAACTCGACACTATGGCTTGTAGCTCAACGAAAACTATCGATGAAATCGATGATCTGTATGAAATGGTTAAAATCATGGAGGCCCTCGATATTTCGTCGAGAGGGTGTAAAACGTTAGACGAGTTGAAAACTCAGGTTATCACTACATTAAACCAGTCTCAAACTAAGCCGAACTGGGCTGCAGGTCAGGTAAGAATTCGTTTGAACTTCTATGGTTGAAAAGGAAATTTTGCTTTCGGGGAGTGATTTGAAATGGCTTTTCATCAAAATATGCTTTACCCAGAACGAATGTATACGCAGTGACTCGTGATACTTGCATATTTTGACAGTAATGGTTCGTACTCGTCAGACAAATTTGCACCCATTTTTGGTGCCAGTCCCTGCGTTTAAGATGGTCTTCTCTGAATATAGAAACCTTTTCTTCTCATACAGATGGGGAGGGAATTGTCCTTACCGCCCAGCCGACAACAACTGAGACTTTTATTGAGGAAACTGTCTGCCGGTATTAGACAATAGTGGTAACGCGGAATTCAATTATGATGAGATCCCTGCCTTTGTTTTATGCCAAATGTGTAGCGTTTTAATGCAATGATAAGTGGCAGAAAATGCATGTGTGACACCTCTAACCTGGTTAATGATCAGATGTAAAGAGTAAAGCGCTCTATTGGAAGGGCAAGCAAGAGGTTCTCTCCTGTAAAAACTACGAAGTTAGTGTCGGTCAGAATTCGTATATCCGTATCGATCGATTGACTGCTCAAATACAATACCTATAGCCTTTAAAGGAATTTTCGATCATACAACTCTAGCTTTCCACTCCGATATTGCATGGATTTCTTCTTGAAGAATGGAACCTTTTTCAACCCTCCTGTTTACTACAGATTTGCTGTCTTGCTCTCATCGATCTTCCTGCAGTATATTATTACTAATTAAACTCCTTAATCATGCAACAAAGCGACTTTCAGCCTACTGATTTAAGAGAGAGGAGAAAACATATGTGTATAAGTGTTCAAAATTCTGTATATATGATCTACAGATTTCGGTATGGATTGATTTTTGACATTTTCTGAAAACTTAATTTATCATCTTTAAAATAATCATCCACTTTCACCTTAATCAAGTGCTATTTTTTAAATCTAATTTTTTCCTCTCCAGGCATTCTCTATTCTGTCAGAAGCAAGAGATCACGACATAAGAAAGAAGAAAATCTTATCTGGTCTTTATGCTGAATGCGAGGAATGTTTGACTGAAATGGACGCCAAAATTCGCTCGCTGCTTAAGCGCCAAATAGGTAACCTTGACGAGCTGATACGAAAACACCAAATAGATATGAAGAGAAAAGAATACGTCCTTCTAGTAGCAGGTAAATGACCGGCATATGGTGGTACTACTATATATTGACCTATTTTCCTTCTTTATCATTTTGGATCGGCTGGTGAACACTTGGGGGTTCGGAATGGTTCTTACTTGGTTGGATTAAACTTTACGACTGAAACTGCAAAAAAAAAAAAGAAAAAAAGAAAGAAAGAAAGAAAGAAAGAAAGAAAAAAAAAACAAAAATAACATCAATAACATTTATATACCCGCATTCTTTGCAAAGAAACCACAAACACACGTTACGACAGAATCTCTTTGGATTCAATTTATCCGAAGTGGTCCAAAAAAGAAAAATAAACAAACATGGCTCGAGTGCCATAATTTATACTATTTACCATTTACTGTTTGAGACTTGCTGAGGAATGTTGGCTTTTCGTTGTTTTTACACAACTCAGCAGCGCTCGGTTCGTTTGCAAAAATCGAGGGCCAATGTTTTTCAGTATGGTACCTGCGCTTGGTTAGTTGGAAGATAGTACAACGTAATATTTATTTTTTATATCACTGCATTCCAGGCGAGACTGGCTCTGGGAAGAGCAGCTTAATAAATCTAATTCTGGGAGAAGAACTTCTTCCATACTCAGTACTCAGTACAACTTCCCCAATTTGTGAATTGCGATATGGGGAGAAACGTAAAATAGTGGCCCATTTCAAAGACACGGATCCTAAAACAGGGCATGAAACTTGGGAATATTTCCTAGAGCAACCAGCAGAAGCCTCTGATGAAAGTTATCTCCAGCAGCTCTCTCCATTTGTCCACGTGAAGGATACAGATCGAGAAAAAGGTTCCGTTTATAAAAAGATCGAACTCTTCTGGCCTCATCAACTCCTGCAGGTAGCTACACAGTGTTCCTTCCTAAGAGGTGGAATAAATATTTTCGATTCCTATTTTTAGCTTAGATGGACAAGATTAGGATCAGAAGGTCATTGAAAAGGGCAAACAGAATTTTAGACTAAAACAATTTGTTATACTTGATGGACAAATAGTATCACATCAAATGCCTGGCTCATGCCTCATAATAGATAAATACAGTGCTAAGTTTTGAAAAACATGCGTCCTTACCCATCGACTGATTTAAACAAAACCCGAAAAACTCATCAACTCTTGCAGGTAGCTACACAGTGTTCATTCAAACTTTGCCAATTAACTAAGAAATGGAATGATTTTTTTCAATCTATACTTTTATTTAGTTTAGATGGATAAAATTAGGATCATAAGGTCAGTCAAAACGGCAAACACAATTATAGTATCTAAAATGGTGTGGGACTAAAATCATTTGTTATGCATAATGGACAAATAATGTCACAACAAATGCTTAGAACATGGCTCATAGCTCACAATAGATAAATTCAGTGCTAAATTTTGAAAAGCATGTGTCCTTGCCCATCGACTGTTTTAACCCAAGGGAAAAAATCATTTTCCTGAGGATTGAATTATAGAATTTTCCATCAATCAAAACTAAGAAATTATATACCTCGAGTAAGGTTAGTTGATGGTCAAACTGAGGATACTCCAGTTAATATGAAAAGAGTATTAACTTTCTCGGAAATTATACATTATGAGGGCATCCCTTTTTAAAGACGGGGTTGTATTTTTCATAACCAGATTGGATGACACGCTATATTGGTCAAAGAGTTTAAAAATAATAATGATAATAATAACAATAAAACCTCCATTTGATTTTTTCGTTTCAGAAAGGCGTTGTTATTGTTGACAGTCCTGGAATTGGAGAATCCGAACTCATGGATGAAGAGGTCGTGAAGTATCTACCTGAAGCTTTCGCATTTATTTATGTCATCAAAACTGACAACGCCGGAGGAGTCCAGAAAGACAGGGTCAGTGTTAGGAATAACCACCATTTCCAAATGACAACAATTTAATAAGCCGTGAGGAGCCCCGTTAAAGGGGCTTTGATACGTCAGCGTTTGACCTATTGTCCTTTAGAAGATTTCAAACCATTACAATGATACTGAATAAGATTAAACTTTTATTTATTTTACAGCTCGAAAAGTTGCTGGAAGAAGTGAGAAAAGTGACTCTTAATGAAAAGGGAGAATTTTCATCGAAGAGCGCCCTGTTCGTGTGTAACAAGTGGGACCAAATACCACAGAAAGAAATCGAAGAGGTAAAGAAATACGTGATCAGAAAATTGGAAAAGCGTTGGCCCGGTCTTGTTCCAGAGTCACAGATCATCTATATGTCAGCAAAAAAGGCGATTGACGCCCAGAAATTGGGAATCATCACAAATGACTTCCTCTCCTTGATGAATGGTATAAGATCCACGGTCATGAAGAGCATAGAGGCCAGACTGGAAAGTTATTGGAGGTAAGAATTGACTGAAAACGTTATCGTCGGGTGAAATGATTGTGATAAATGCCCTAACTCATTCCCTAAGACACTTCAGAACTCATCATCACCATAAATTTACCCATCGACTAAACCTTTCCCAATTTTCGATAAGCCTGTATCCTTCATACTGGGGTTTTGTACCGCGTTGAAGGAGAGGCGTTTTAAAATCTGGTCTTGGTATGGGATACACGGGTCATTAGATATGAACGATTTTTTACCTCGATTTTCCCGCTGAACTTTTCTCTTGGCGTGCTTGTGAATAAAGTGAGGTTGGAGCAATTAAACATCTGCAATGGTTGCTCATTGGATGTTAAGTAAAAATGAAGACAAAAAAGCCTATCTAAATTTGGAGCGAGAATTGCCTAATAGGTAATTCATGGAGTGCCGTTATGGCTTTTACAGTTAAGTGATTAAAAGTAGTTTAAATTCTACACCAGCTACCGGGTTGAACAATTTGTATATGGGACTTATTTTTTACTTTGATTTAAAACACTAGACACTTTCATAAATGCTGCAGAATAGTCATGACCGAAAAATTCAAGAAACTGAGTGCTAAATTATTTGAGCAAGAAATCATAAGCTATGCCCACATCTATTTCAGGAGCTTCCATCAAATTCTACAGCGTAAATTAATCACTTTATTGTCATTTGAATCTGAGAGGGCTCTGTTGTTTTGGTTTATTTGTTTGCTAGATCTTTCCTTCCTCTCTCTTTCTTTCTCTCCCTTTATTGTTATCTTTTTAGAAACGATTTTCGGGGATAATAATAGAGACTCAATAGGGCATGCATTTAGCATACTTTAAAACTTGGATGCTTTGATACTTCATTCTTCGGGAGGAGGATCCCTTTTGTCCTTGTCCGTTCTGAAGAAAGGAATCAAACATCCAGTCTTTATCCCTGGTTCCATACCACTGGTGAGAACGAGCCAAGAATCGTGAAAAGGTAATGATTTTTGAGGTAAAAACCATATCAGTTATTGAATATATCTGTTTATATTTTAGATGGCTTGATTACCTCCTTTCACGAATAGTTTATCAAGCAAAGGCCTTTGTTATGAATGCCAAAAGAGATCGTGACAAGGTCGCCAAGAAAATGGAAAGAATCAATAACCGTCTGTCAGCTATTGAAAGCGAACAAGGGAAAGTGGTGGAAGACCTTCGAAAACACCTGAAAGCTAAAATCGACGAGGCAGTTCAAAAGCTTTCCATATTTCTCAAGTCAGATGAGGTCAAAACACGTTTCATCTCATGGAACTTGGACGAGGTTCCTGAAATAGAGGTCTCGTGGCAGGTCACAGAAAACAATATCAATAAAGCATTGCAAACAAGGTTGAAGGAAATCATAGAACATTGGGAGGAAGATGAACGACTATTTGCCGATGCTCGAGATTCCCTCCTGCATAATTTTCAGGAGCAGTACGATTTTGTCGAGGGGCAAATCCGGAATCTGCAAGACAGTGTCACGACTGATGACCCAATTAGTGTTTCAGAAGCTGATCCCTCTGAAAACTTTTCTATGGCAGTAAAGTTTGCTATCGGTTTTACCAGCCCAGTCTGGGTTCCACTCACTCTAATTGCTTTGGTAATTGGCAGCCCAATAGTCGGCATAATCTCGATCAAAAACAAAATTGAAGATTCAAGGAGACTTAGGAGGTACGAAAAAGACAGATGCTCTCTCATGGCTGAGAGGTCAGTAGACTACCTCAACAATGCCACAAATGAGTCCATTCTCAAGGTGTTCGTAAAGAGCCAACTACGCGAGGCAAAATTGTGTCTGAAGCATATTGAGGCCCGTATTCCAGAGCTAATACAAGATGTTGTATAATCAACTCAGGCATGAAACGCGGTCACACAAAGAGATACAGGAGTCATACCAGCCTGTCCTGAATCGAGCATTGGAAATCAGAGGACAGCTGGCGTTATTTGGCCTGAGAGAAATCCGTACCGCTGACATCAGCAGCCTGGAGCTTGAGTGGAAAGCAGACAGGTCTCTTCTTCTTGGTCAAGGAGAGTTCGCAACGGTGATGGAAGGGAAAATGAAGAGGCATGGTGAGGAGCAAAGCGTTGCATTAAAAATTTGGAACGAATCCCTTGACATCAACAACGCAAGTCATGTTTTGGCAGAAGCGAGTCTTCTAAGGTACGAATTTTTCTTACTTTCAATTTTATTGCGGAATTGCATTTTATTTTAAGTCTCCTTGGAACTGCTAAAAACCTGCGCAAAACGAGTTTCAAAACTATATGTAAATCTAACAGTGAATTAATTTTGCGTGGCCAGGAATACACCCAATTCACAAGGTCAGCGGTGGGCTATCAGAAAAAGGAAGATTGTGTTTTGTTACAAAAGAAAACATTAACATTTAAAAGGATTTGGTAGGTTTTTTTTGTGAAAAGAAATATAGTTAACTATAACTTCACTTTTATTTTTCATTCATCTTTTTTTATTCGATCATTCCTGTACTGCGTTTATACTGAGACAAAAATTTGACTAAGTAATGCTTGACTGTGTGTAGTTGATTTCTTTCTCAGGAGGTTGGACCATCCTCACATTGTGAAGTTCTATGGTACATCTCTCCTCAAAAGAGATGGTGAGGAAAGAGCAGTAATGGTGCTGGAAAAGTGCAAGGAAAACTTGAGGACCCACATCTTCAATAATCGAGCCTTTGTTCCTGCAGAAACAAAAGATATTGCAAGTATTAAAACAGTTAAACGATGGGCAAGAGAGATATCTGATGCACTCGCGTTCATACATAAAGAGGGGGTTGTCCATCGAGATCTCACATTGGAGAATATCTTGGTATGAGAGAATAGTTAAAAAAGATTGATGATTTTTGCTAAGGCAACCCTGAGACTTAACAATCAACTGCCGCAAGGAAAATCTCGATCTCGTGAATTATTTGTTAAATTTTCCTGACGAAATATTACTTTTCCCACAGCAGCACTCAAAATTCACAGAAATTTTCGGTAAAATAAGTTTTTCGCAGAGTGCAATGAGTTCCCGTGACACTGCCGTAAATATGCTTTGCATTTAACTGCCCACCTCGTAATGTGTTCTTAAAAGCATCGCGATGTTCATACAATGTTTTCTTTTCAATTAAAGCTATCAGCAGACAACTCAGTAAGGATTGCCGATCTTGGGGAGTCCAAAGAGGCAAAGGATATCACAGGATCATGGGCTGGAACAGTTCTTTATATGGCACCTGAGGTGTTTCAATCAAAGAGATATAGCTTCCAAGCAGACATATACAATCTTGGAATAATTTTGTGGGAGATGTGGTATGGAAGACAGGCCTTCGCCGGACTAAAGGGGCTAGCACTAAAAGACATCTCAAAGAAGATAGCTGATGACGGTTACCGTCCAGAAGTCGAAAGCAGCAATTATAGGAAACCTCCGCTTCCCTGGAAAAATCTAATGACCCAGTGTTGGAGTCAAGCCCCAAACGAACGCCCTTCAGCTAAGAAATGTTACATGGAAATCAAGAAAAATTATGAAGCAGCCATTAGACTGTGATACCAAACTTGACTCTGGGCAGCAACGAGGAAATGCGATTAGATTTTTTTTCTAATCGTGATGGTGAACTGTTTCTACTTCTCTGGTGAAGTCTATAAGCTAAAAACGTATCCTTCGCAAAACTATCGTAGTGCATAGTTGTCTATGTCTGTTGTCGTCTACTGAACCAAAAGTAACATATTTCCGTCTTCTTTGCCACTGACTCAGTGGCAGAGAAGACGGCCTACCTAACAAAGTCAGCAACGTTAGCACTTGATGCAGTTTGTGGTCGTTTCGCCTATTATTCGTTTCGCTAGTGACCAGTTCATGATCAGTAACCGGCGTCTTAATTCGTTTCGTTAACGTCTCATTGGTCATTTCGCCAACGCATTAAAAAACATTTAATGATTCCTTCGACAGAACTTCATCGACTTCTATTAAGACTCTTAAGAATGGCTGCCTGTCAGGATCGAGAATTGTCCGTCAACGACCATTTTGGTGAATTGCTCATATTTTGCTCAAAGATACCCTTTGATAAACTATTTTCAAAAATCATGTTTTTAAGTTTCAGCGATTATTAAATTTTCATAAACTTGCGAAAATCTGAAAACGCGGTTTTCAGGCTTCCGGAGCTCAGGCTCCGCATGACGCACAGTCAAAAATTAACTGCAAAAACCAAGCCCCGTTTAAGGATGAAAATGGAATCAATCAACACCAAACTTCACACGATTTTAGGACAGCTATTCTCATTCAATTCTAGTGAGTGATTTTTTTTGGGCACATCGATTTTGGGATTACTTAAGCCCTTGAAAGAACATCCTCAAAGACCGCGTAAAATGGCAGCGAAAAACGGGTGATATTTCACGCGAAAAAAATGTACCTGGTACCACATATTTTAGATTTTCAACAACATATTCGTGAAATATTGCTATTTTCCATTCACTGTGGAAAGTGTGATGCTCGGAATCGCATTGCTTCCCTTCGAAAATGGCAGAAGTGTTTGTGACTTGAGCGAGCAAAATGATGCAAAGTGTGTAAACAAACAACAAGGTAATTTAATCATATCGAGTTGTTAAATCTCCAAATTAAATCCGGCCTCTGCTGTGTCGGTTTGTAGCTTGAAAAATGTAAAGTGACAAGTAAATTATTCCGTAAGATATTTGAAAAGGTTCTACAAAATATTTTTTGGCTAAAAACCTGCAAGTGAAGTACATATTACATTAGCACCAACTCACATTCAAGTAATGCAAAAGATACATTCGAGAGAAGCTACTTAGTAGATTAGTACTTGATTCTATGCTGATAAATTAGATATTTTTTTATCTTTTACTTTGAGAACTCATTTTCTGTAGGTTTAAATACATGGAAAGGCGACTTTTGACCTTCTAAGTAATTAAATGCAAGGCGACAGTTCTTGTTATCCTAGTGATTATAAATGTCACGCAACGTAACGCCATTGGAAACGTGTAGGGGGTGCTGAAACATACCTGCGTAGAAACCGCAAATGAAATAATTATGTCGTTAAATTATAGAAAGAAATCCCGCATTTCAAAATGAGCGGAAAGAAATGTAGGTTGAATACTCTCACGTCTGTCAGTTTGCATGTGTCGGCTACCAGATGAGTAAACTTCATTACCGATGTGAAGACCAGAAAAGGAAAGTGAGGGCCAATATTGGCATGATTAAAAGAAAAATAGAACAAAACGAAAGAACTTCTAATTACTCTACGAGCTTTATAAATGAGATAACTAGTAACTGACGATTAGGAACGAGTCACCGTTAATTCGTTTCTTCCTCACTTTTCTATTCTGCTGAACTAAAGAGAAAGTCAGCATCACGATGACTTTTGGCAAGTACATTTGCTGACAATCTCTTTTAGTAGAGCCAAGTACGGGGCCTTTTTACGCATGGGCTTTGATGGTATATGGTTTGCGCATCGTCTGGCGTTTCTTCGATGGTATCCAGAGAAACCACTCGTACACCTTCCAAACCGCCGTGGGATAGCAGAGCTTCCTTCGGGTCGCTGGCGGTGCAGACATCGTGGCCTTCATTAATAAACGCCCTAATGTGGCCTTTACAGCTCGCAGCTAGTCGATCTGCAGCCCCTTTCCCGCCTTGCGGGTCGCTGAAATTAACGCGGACTATCTTCACTCCGGTGTTCGCTGAAATTTCTTGGCACTTCGTTAACGTGCGGGAGGAGTGGTAACAGCCGGCTTTATCTTGCCTGAAGTAGGCCTTGTTGATTTCAGGATACTCTTGCTTCAATGTGGCTAGAACATGTTGCATAATCGCGGTAACAGCAGAACTTCCTTGGGTACAGGACTGAATCACATGGATAAAGGCTTGCCACTGTAGCACACCCTCTATTCGTCTGTATACCACAGATATGTGCCAAGAAATACCCCGCTTACCAAACCAGTCTGTCTGTGACTCGCGGTATCTCTGAGGCAAGAACTTTATGGCCCAGTCATTTACAATGAATACTGTTCCAGAATTAAGGGCATCGATGACGTCCAAACGAGCCTGATCTTGATGGGTCGACCTCAGCAAATGGTACACTGTAAAATGAAAAGAGCCAAATTGACCCCAAAAGCCAAATTGGCCCCAATTTCTCGAGGGCCAGTTTGGCCCATGAAGGTTCGTTTTGAACTATTTGAGCCAAAACGGGCGTGACAAATACCATTTCGACCCCTCCAAAATCTGAATTGGCCCCTATGAATTCTACTTTGGAACTTTTTCTCAATTTGGTCCTTCCAAGAGCCAAGTAGGATTGACCAAATTGACCCCCCAACGAGGTGCAATTTTTGAAAAAAAAAGAAAATATGAAAATAATTTTCTTTTTTCGACCATATTTCGTTCCCTATACTATTCCTTATAAAGTGTTCAAATTTTCAACGGTTCCTCTCGTAACTGAACACCGAGTCACAAAACGAATTAATCGTTGGCTTTTTCTCGAGACGTGAGCGTGAGCTGGCTGTGATGGCATTAGTCGAACCTAGACCACGTGCGTCGGAAACAATAATGAATTATAGCAGCGAATTCGTCACTGAAGAGGCTGTTTCTTGGCTACAGTCGCATGGAATGAGACTTAAGAAAGGAAAGGTAGGCAAAAGAAATTTCTTAACAACGTATTTTACTGCAACTTTACATTCACAAACTTGACCGCTCCATTGATCTTTGTTCGTATCTTATCTTGCAGAAAAAGACGGTTGCGATGGCCAAGATCTCCTTGCCATCGCCCAAGATGCAGACGTACCAAGGCACTACATCCCTATTATAAAAGAGCGTCTAAAGCTCAAGAAATTGATTGCAATGAACGCTGAACCTAGAGATGACACGAGTTCTTCGTCGGTACGATAATTAATTTTCCCACCAGAGAATTTGACGCATGAATGGTTCGCCTCTTCTCCCGAGTCTTGTTGAGTCTCAGCGGTTTCGCAATTAAAGTCACGTGATCAAATTTTGGCGCCGAGAGATAGAGACGGTTACAGTTCGAATACTGCATTTGCACAAGATGGATTTAACTTAATTCAAGATTCTCTGATTTTAGGATCTCTCACTCTGAATTCTTAATCTTTTTCTTGAAAAGATGAACTGATATTTTTATGTCTATGTCTTTGTTTGCATCCACTTAAGCTGATTTTTTGGCTCTCACTCTTTCAGCGTGCAGAATCAAGTCCTTCGAGTAAGACGGTTCAAACGTCGATTGGTGATTCAGAAAACATCAGCGATTATGAAAATTTAGAGGTGACATTGGCACCGAAAGAAATGGGTAAATCAATATTATAAATCGCTCAAGGATCTCTGTTTTACGGACGAGGCGACAGAACTGAGCACTGTCTAAGTAAGTTCTTGTATATTAAACTTAGCAGGATGGCGAAGAGTACATTATCGATTACTTTCTTTCGATTATATCCTAAAGGAAAACACACAAGGTGCCAGTTGGTCAGTTAAAGATGACAAATCTCGGGGATTGCACCTACAAAAATGGTGAGATTTACTATATTTTTATTGAAATACACTTTATATGTATTTACTTGCACTATACACTAAACAAAGTAAAACCAATGTATAAATCTGGTAAACTCAAAAATTAGTGAATTGATAGGATGTAATCAGACAGTTTAATTTTTTTAAAATAAATATTTACCTATATAGATTCCTCCTGGATGGCTTTCAAAATTCCAACTACCATCGAGGGTAAGAAACTTTTCTCTGTTTTGTTTTTTAAGTCCACACGCAATCCTTATTAATTCATGAATACTGTGCTAGAACTGAAGTGCATAGACGTATGATTTCTTTTCTTGATAAGTACATATACAGTTTGGTGAAAATACATCATTGATGATCACCATTATTGTGTTTTTACTTCTTATGCACAGTTTGCTTACAAACATTTTGCAACTTTGTAGTTGCAAAAATTTACTGTTCTCCAACAACAAATTAATTTGCTCATTTGTTTGTTTTTTTGTACAGTTCTCTGCCTCAGTAGAGTTGGATACCCAGAAGGGATATCTCATCAGCAGTACTCTGAGCAACAGTGGATTGCAAAAAAAAATTATTGCAGAGTATCCTTGTATGGTTAGCAGGATACTAGACTAAGTTGACTTGGAAACTGAATGGATTGGTATGGTCTAAAAATCTATTGCTTCACCTCTTCTGCTTGCAGTGAAGAGAGACAATTTTGTGGTGCTGAATCTCTTGCCTTAAAATAAAAAGTTGCAAAATAATCACTCTCACCTTTTAAGTTCATGACCTTTGTTCTTGTGTGTTTGTCATCACATGCATTTAATGAAGTTGTGACCATTTTGGAGGTACAAGTCCAAAAAACTGCTACTTTGGTACTAAGATGAACAGCTAAAATTTCTGAGCCCATTTGCCAATGAAGTCCAGATACAAAGGTTCAAGTACTTTGGGGTTGTATTAATTTTGCCTTTATGTTTAGTTTTTTTGATTTTGCAATTTTTTAAAATATTCCTGTTGTCAAACCATTAGATAAATATTGGACATAGAATAGCTGATTTTTTTCAGATATTTTGGGAGTCATACATTAGTTTTTCAAGTCTTGAATGGGAGACAAATTACACACATTGAGCTAAACTTCCACTTCCATTTCTGGTGTTTTAGCTTATAGTTTTAGAAAAACAACATATATATATGTAAATGTGGGGGTAGAGTCTACCTTGGCATAAAGTGCTCAATGCTGTGGTAGTAGAGCTAAGTATACATAAGTTAAAGAATTAAGGAGGACACATCAATTCTCTGTGACTCTGAATTTCGCACCTAAGCGCTTGTCAGACAGAACTTTTCTGTCTGATAAGCACTTAGGCACAAAACTCAGTCACAGAGAATTGATGCGTCCTCTTTAATTCTTTAACTTAAGTGTGTATATATATATTTTTTTTTTCTGGCTACAGGCACTTTTTGCACTTTGGCTTGATTTTAATGTGGTTGTAAAACTTGTTTTTATTGCATAGAGTAGCTGATGTTGATTCAGCAATCAGAGATTATGTCCAGCACAAATTTTAATTGTTGGAGATCTTCAATACATCAATCACCTGAATATAGTAACAGAGGGAAGTGTAATTTGTCACTTCTCATAAGAAAAGATTCTTGATGCTCTCATTGGGTTACTTGGCTTATTTATATTTTCTTACAATCGGTCAAAGGCAATTTTGACTTTTTTTAGAGCAAGCATTGCTTGAAATTGGGCACGGGCAGACTCTTGTCACTGTTTCCTCTATTTTCAATGACTTGGCAAATGCCTGCGGTAGTACTTGCTGATAGTTTATATTTTGATAATATCTAGAGTAGTAATATGAGTGCATGTATTCTCACATCCACTGGAAGAATACTCTTTGCTGCTCTAAGGCTCTTTGTTTTTCATATGCACAAATCAAACAAGGTCTATATTCTTGTGCAGGAACTGGACCATTTGTTGCCTCTGTCTTATTTTGATAATTTTCTGTACTTTAAATCAGTCTTAATTATAAGCTGCTTTACATTACCACATTTGCTAAGTCATTGAAAAGGGAAGCTTTACTCACAAGTGTCTCTTGGGTGTAATTTCTTGCAATGCTTGCACTATTAAGAAGTATACTGATTTAGGGAAGAGATCTATTTTAGAAAATGGTTGAATTAATGTTAAATATGTATGTATGTTATATTCTTTCACATGATGTTTCAAAGATTGTCTGTTTTATACCACAATTAAGATTCTTAATAACTGTAAAATCAGGTAGCATAAAAGGTTTTTACATAAACAATATCTAGCAGCTAATAAATGAGTGTTTGAAAGATAAAGTATGTGGTGTATTTTCATTATTTGAATGAAAGGGGGGAAATCAGCATGGAGAGGAAAGAGCCCTCTACTTCTGAAGTGGCCCACATTGGAGCTGAATTGGCTCTTTTTAAAGGGGCCATTTGTGAGAGGGCTGAAATTTCGGGGGCTGTTTTGGCCCCTATAAATTTCAAAGTGGCCCCTGTATTTTTCAAATTCACCCTTCACATGGTCCAATTTGGCCCCTACAACGGGGTCAATTCAGCCCCAAAATTGGTGCCAAAAACAGCCCCATTTCGATGGGGCTGAATTGACCCTAAGCGAGTGCCAAACTGGACTCACTCGTTTTGGCCCCATTTTTGGGGCCAAATCAGCTCTTTTAATTTTACAGTGTACTTCCATGACTGGATGGCAAGCGTAGCAGAGCTAACGAGAAACAAAGCTTCGTCTTTGTCTTCTTCTGTGGTAAAAGATGCTTCATCAACCGCAGTAGATATGTCGTTCAGGGTCGAATGCAAGCTTTCACAGAGAACAGAGCTTTCACAGAGCTCGTCATGGTTGTGTTTGCATTGCTGCCGCAGGTCAGAATCTTCGGTGTCACTCAGAGCAAATACACTGCAATGACTTGCAACGGGAGAAGAAGAGATCACGTGAACCTGAGTGAAAATAGGAAACACAGCTTGACACAAAGCATGGATTACCATGTTACTGCAACATTAACGACAAAAAATATATGCAATATGTATGCTTCATGTTATCTAAATCGAATAACCTCAATAATCTGAGAAGATAAAATCTATTACAAAGCATAATTTATACTGATAAAAAACGAATACCAAGAGCAAAAACCGACGTATATTTCCCAGTCAGGGTGGACCTGTCATTGGAACGGTGCTATACTTCCATCCATTTGCGAAATAAGATCACCCTGCTTGAAAAACATAATCCAATTTTCTTGGAACTCTTGACACTTTCGGTTGCTTACCTTGAAATCACCCTTCAGGTAGAATTTGGCCACCTTTAATGATTTCACGTATCGCACTTGCCACTCCTTTCCAAGACCAAGCTCCCCCAATTGAAGAACCAAGCCTTCTAGTTCATCGAACGCACGCGCCCCGTCTGCTGCAAAATAGTCAAGGCCTTGGAGAGACTTTCTGGTCGAGGCCTTGCATTCATTTAAAACACGCAGCATCGTCCGCTCGCTGAACGCCTCAAATCCAGTCTCTTTGCAGTACTGGGTATACTGACGCACTATCCTTTGCGGTATCATGGTGCGAATAACATTGGGTACTTCAACCAGTTGTCCAGAGGAGAGCTTCAGTGTTTTTTGTCCAAATGGCAGAAATGAAAAGTATGAAAGCTCAAGACTCGTCCGTGAAATAACTTTCCTTAGATCTGTTACGAAATTTCAACCATTTGCGCAAGAGCTTCGTGGGCAGTGATGACGTGACAGGCTTTACCACGAGAGAAAATTGTGTTTGAATTACAGCATCTTAGTCAAGATGGTGCGAGATGTTGGAAGCTCAATGAAAATACATCTGAGATTGAAGTATAATAGTGTTATCGTGTAGCTATCAGACCTTGAGTAAAGTTTTTGTTTTCAGTCTTTGGTATATTTCATGATGACAGCCCATTTAGGGTCTCATGTGGTGCGGCCAGTGTTTGTTGGGACCGGATGTCGGTTAATTATGATAAATAGGAACAATTCGCGTTAATACACTGAACTGCTTGTAAAGAATGCTGTTCTCCTTCTGTATTCGCTGGAATTCTTGATTTATATATACATATATATCTAAAACAAACTAAAACAAAGCCCTTGCAGCTGAAATGTTTAAGAGTCATTCAACAGACTGATCAATTGTCACAATTTTCGTAATCGTAATACTTGTAATGGTGATCGATGAAATGACTGTAAGAACATTTTCGACGGTGATTTTATTTTCTCTCAGCTCTCACACAACTCTGAATGTACGACTTCACTATAACTCAATATTTTGTGGAATACAAGTCAAACATTTCCAGAATTAAAGTTTATTTTAAAACCTTTTTCCACCAGGGAAGGAATGATAAGATTAGCGTTTGTTTACACAACACACATCATTTTGCTCGCTCTGGACACAAACATTTGTGGTATTTTCGAAGGGAAGCGGTCCGATTCAAAGCATCAAAGTTTACTCAGGAAATAAATAGTATCATTATATTACGAATATCAAGTTAAAAAATTTAAAAATGAGGTACCAGGTACACTTTTATCGCGTTAAATTTAACCTATTTTTTGCTCTCATATCAAGCGCTATTTGAGGGTGTTGCTAAGAAGACTTAAAAATTCTCAGTATCAATGTGTACAGAAAAATTAACATAGTGAAAATGGATGGGAAGGCTTTTTCTTATATCGTGTGAAGTTTGGTGTTAATTGAATTCATTTTAAGCCTTCAACGGAGCTTGGTTTTTGCAGTGAATTTTGGACAATTTGATAGGCGGAAAACCGCACTTAAACCGCGTTTTCAAATTTTCGCCAATTTCTAAAAATTTAATAATCGTCGGAACTTTTAAACTTGATTTTTGAAAATAGTTTACCAAAGGGTATCGTTGGGCAAAATATGAGCAATTCACCAAAATGGTCGTTGACGGACGATTCTCGATCCTAACAGGCAGCCATTCTTAAGCGAAACGAAGGGTTACCTCAGATGCCTAGGGTGACGTTATAGTTAACTTTTCGCGATCGTTATTTCAAAAAGATACTCATAAGAATTTTACGCCAAAACATAAATTTTCCTATTAACAAATAGAGAAGCCTCTATTGTGCTCTGTTCTGTTGTAGATCACGTAGGAAGAGGCTAGAACACGAAAGAAGTCTCCCCCCTTATCTCAATTTTCTACTTGGTTTGGATGCGTAGCATTCTCTGTAATCGAAATGATTTAGCAATAATATCTTTTAGTAAAAAATTTTGCATAATATCTTAACTTTACAGTTACATGAAAATATTCATCCACAAGCTGCATCAAAGAGTTTCCACGGGTAACCGTATGAACGTGGAATTCCCGTAAACAGATCTAGATACCGAAAGACGCTCACCACTGCATTATGGGTCCAAGTGTCTCCAGTAGCTTGTTTTCTTCCGGATGCCGTATAGAGGCCTTATACTTCTCTTTACTCTTAATAGCTTTTCTTGTATTCTCGATTGAAACATACAGCATCTCTTAGGTAGTTAAATTCTGGTTTGAACCCGCTCCTCTACTGCTGCTGGAAGACCAGGGAAGTGAGGCAAGCACTGGTGAAGGGCACATTAACGCAGTATTTTGGTTTTAATAGTCATATGTCATCAATCAGTGCGATATTTTCGCTTAAGTTCTTGAAAACGATAAAATGACTTCCGCTCTCAAGCCCTAATTATTGTTCTTATATTTTCGTTTCCCAACTCAACGAGTTTAGATAGTAATTAACAGTCACTAGCGAAATTCTCCCTCTCTTCCACACCAAGAACATTATTTTATACTCAGGGATGTTTGCGGCCGGACTATAATCTCAGAAATTAGACTCTTAAGAGGCAGCACCCTTATCACAATTATCGCCCCTTTTAAAATACTGATGATGCAGGAAGCGATGTTTCTGTAAGGTTTACATTTTTAACCATAACCTCATATCAAGTATAGTTATGAGGAAACTTAGAGTACTTCAACGCGTTCTGTTTTGTCGACTCAATATGTGTAGGTAGTTTTGAAACCCTTACCGCGCCCGTGACTGCTCCTAAAGCAGAAACTGAATCACTTCATGAGTAAAAGGAAATCATTGACAATGCAGGATGTAGGAGGAAGAAGAGATTTTCTGTTCGGATGAACATAAATCATCATTGTTAGTTTTAGAGTTTTACTACCGGATTTCAGCAACTTATTGTTCGCTCTAGCTGCTTAATGTGATGATAAAGTTAGAGCGTGAACGTCGCTCAATAATACAAGTTAATCCTGCTTCAAACCAACAAAGCTTATTTAAAATAGGCTCGTCTCTCAATACTCTTGTTCCTAGCCGAGTGACTAAAATTAAAGACCGAGATTTTAGTAGATACATTGAATTGTGAACTTTATTTCAAGACTCCTTACGAAATCTAGTTACAGGGGTTCCTTGCTGCATCGGCTTTGACGCCCTTTCGCCCTAACAGCACTGAATTTCAGTCGTATTGAAGTATACGGACTAATTCTTAGATATAATACGTTTGTAATTCATTCTTTGTACAGTCAAAGACGTTGCACTGATCCATGATGGCAAGTTAGACTAACTTGATTTACTTTGGGATAATACACCTTATTTTATCATTAAAAATATGCTTACGTGCGGATATTTTGTGAGTTGCGTTGTATTTTTTCCGAGCCCCGAAGGCATGAGTGAAAGACGGAAACGACACAAACGAAACCATGACCGACAATAACATCTGTAAACATGAAAGCGATCTTTGCATTTCACAGTTCATATAGTTCACATAGTTCACATAGTTTGCAGGTACCTTATTAGTTTCATAGATTTACAGTCATATAACATCTACTGCGCTAAAAAGTTATTTTCACAAGAGGAAAAGCCTAAAACCACGGAGGAAAAAATCGAAGTTTGGATCATTTGCTGAAGCCACTTTTTTGCTCCGCTCTCTGACCGTATTTTTGACCCTGATTTACAGAGTAATCTATTGACATATCACACGTTCCGATGCCCTAAAAAGGCAAAATGACGTCATAGTGGAGTAAAAAAAATTTGTATAGCTTCTCCTCAATTGATTCAAAGAGACAGTTGCCGAGTTAGAAATAACATATACCTTTGAGAACTATTTGTAATCCACGCCGTCCACGAACTGCTATTAAAAAAATGATTAGTATGCACTGGAGCTCATTAGGAGCTTTGAGTAAAATTTGGTTACATCTCCAATTTCAGTGACCTCCTCCTCCTAAATTAATTACAGTCGAACGAATACTAAGATATAAAGCGATTGTTCTTTTCAGTCCGCTCCACGTTACTTCTTTTCTTTTAATTCAAAGTGAACGCTCTCCGCCTCTGCTTTTTTTCGGTAAGAAACAGACGCTCCACCTTTCTTATTTGGTCTTCTAGCTGGCGTAGGCGTGACACATAGGCGTGTCCTCGGTAGCGGTACTGGTTTCAGTTTGGGTTGAATCTTAGCCTCGTTTAACTCTTTGAAACGTTCCAGTGCTTTTCTTGCTGTCAGCCTGGCACGTGGATTTTCATTCCAGCAAGTAGTCATGACATGTTGCCATATTTCATATGGATGATTTGTGCCTTTGATGTGAGTAGGTCGACAGCCCTGTCTCACCTTTTCGAGCTGGTGCAATCCGCAGGTTGTCATCGCCGTTTGAAAAGCTGTCTCACCATACCATATTTCCCAAAGTAGGAAGCCAAAACTATACATGTCAGCTTTGCTGTTGTAAATTCGACCCTCACACACTTCAGGGGCCAGGTACAGATAGGTGCCGACTGTTGTACCTGTTATTTCTTTTTCATGTTTAGCGACTCCTACATCTGCAAGTTTCACTTGCTCGCCTTGTGTCAGCTATAATGAAATATGAAACTCAGTCACAAAGAATCGTAATGAACCAGGGAAACAATAAATGACTTAATGTCACGTTGGTGCTTTTTTCGTTGACTGCAAGATCATGTTTCATGGTAATGAACACCAGGTGCCGCGACAAAGGTCGACCAATGAATTTTGTTTACATGGCATGCAATCTTCTGCATGAGATCTCACGCAAAATTGTAGGAAAACGGGTGGCTGATTTCCTTAATGAAAAGCACGCAATTTTCATCACCAAGACATCATTTCCAGCCACTAGAAACCAAAATTGCCTCTCCTCCCCCCCCAAAAAAAAATCCACTCTTGAACTAGTAAAGAGCACGACTACAATATTTTCGAAAAAATGGTCGGGGGGGGGGGCAAAAAGGCTATGTTTTACTGAGGAAAGGAAATAGCCCTATACATGTCGGTAAAAACAGTTAACTGACACCTTAACTGGGAAATCAAAGTTCACTCAGTACACATTTACCAGCAGATTTTCCAGCTTTAAATCTCGGTGAACAAATCCTTCTGAGTGGATGTAATGCAAGGCCTCTAGGATATGTTGTACCCAGGATAAGACCTTTTTCTTGACTGAGTCGTTCGACGATCGAGCGGGTGAATCCTCGGGATGGGCAAGTACGCGATCTCTGAGAGAGCAACTGCAAAGCTCGAGGACGATCATCACTTCAGTACCTTTGGGGCTGTGGTGCAAATTGGTTCCATAGAAACCCACAATGTTTGGATGGCGCAGTTTTCTAAGACAAAGATAAGAGGCTCATTGCTATTAAACTTATAGGCAGCAGGGACACAATCGTTTTTCAATCGCATGTGTAGCAAGCTATAGCATTTTCAGCTCTAGACACCATGCAAAATTTGGTATAGGACACCACGCACGACAGTTGTACTGTGAAATGAACACAACTGCATGAGAGAAAATGGTCTTTTGATACACGTACCTTAAAGCACATTCCTCGTCTACGAAATGCCACACGTTTTTACTGGTAAGCGGGTCAATGTACTTCTTGATGGCCACGATAATCTCTGGCGATTCTTTGCGACGAAGAACGCCTTTGAACACTATCGAGAAGCTGCCTCGTCCAATGACAGGATTTCCGAAATCGCATTCTAACTCTTCTCTTGCAAAATCCGACTGCCTGATCTCTCGCAGAGAGTATACAGTTAAACCCCGTCTCAGAGATTCCAGCTCGTCGTTTAAAGGCTCGTAGATCCTCCGAATCTCAGTATTGCCTCTCTTGTCTTCAAGTAGCTGTTGATAGATCAGCTCGTCACCTTCCCTCAGCTTTGGAATCTTCTTCTTGATCTGTCCCAGGTACAGTACGGCGTCTTCCAGTTGTTCGTTGATGAACGGAAGCAAGCGGTCTTGAGTAGAAATAACTTTGAGACATTTTCGTGATCGCTTCGACATGTAGGCACATGGATCATCGCGGAACCTTTCCAGTTTGGTTTTGTGATGGAGCTTCTTTTTAAGTTTGGTTCTGAGCATGCTAAGTGGAGACCCTACCACCACTGGTGCCAATCCTTGCCGAAGCCATGGCGGAGCAGTAATCGTTTTCAATCTTCCTCGTACTTTAGATCGTTTCAAATTTTCTTCACCCTCGTCCTGTGGAAGGTCACCCTCCGCCTCGTCGACGAAAAAAAAATCTTCCGCTACTTCGCGCATTTCTTCCTCCATTATATCATACTTTTTGCAACAATGTTGGATCAATGACACTCGAGCTCTGTCGAATTCGTTCTCTTCGTTTTCCCATCGCTGGACAAATTGATGTGTTCTCTCTGAGATGTACTTTAACACCTCATTCTTTGTATCCTGCCATGTTCCAAGGGGTTTGGGTACTTCATCTTTAGACCAGTTGCAAAAACGCGAAAAAGTTCCCTCCGAATTAAAGTGCAAAGCTAGTTTCTTGAGGATGTCTTCAAATATTTTCGACTGATGCTTGCTAAGTTCATCAAATATACGTTTCTGAGAATTCTGCAGCTCTTCCATGCGGCTTAACAATCTCTTGATTTTTTCCTCTGTTTTCTGATGAGACATTTTTGCTGACTTCAGTTTTATGCGGACTTGACGAGACATGCGATCGAGGAGATCCTCTAGCCATCTGATGAATAAGCATATAAAAAATTGTTTGATGTCATAATTACAACTGCTAGACAATTAAAATAACCATACCAATGCATATGACATGGACTTTGTTCGTTTATCTTACGATAGAGTCACTTACGACGTAGATCGCGACGTTTCGACTGCAATACTACTAATCTTCATCAGGCGATGAGGTCGATTGCTTACGTGACGCTATTTGTAGCACGTTGTTACGCTGCTATTAGTGCATTTCGATCCTCATTATTATTCCGGTTGTTAAATGGTGTTCCCTCATAGGTTCTCATAAATCGGCTGTTGTGTTGTTTGATCGTGGGTATCCAAACTTCGGGAATGTCGATTCCGATATCCCTATTGATGTTGTTGGGATGAAGTATTATACGGATAGCCTCTTTGACCCTACGTGTGTACCAGTGGGGTCACGATCAATAAACTTAACCTAACTCCAAATAGGAATATACCCCGTTTCGTTAGCCCGCTCCGAAACCGCAAGAGGTCTGAGCACGAGTAAACCGCATGTCTCTGTCATGTTCTCGCAAGACAAGCAGTATTGCAGTCGAAACGTCGCCATCTCCATCATAAGTGACTCTATCGTCCGACAAACGAACAAAGTTAATTGATGTCTCCTTAATGACATATTTATTCTAATTCTACTTTATAATCGAGCTTTAACTTCCATCTCGAGGCTTTGTCTTTGTTGGGTATTTGATACAATATAAATATTCAAGGCCTCAACTTAGAATTATTCAGAAGTCTACCTACCTAGCATTCATCTGCAGATTATTCTTCATGGACGAAACTAAGAGATTACTAATCCCTGTTATTAGGTTACTGAAATCCTCTGTCACTACCCCATAGGTCTGAGCTAACTGCGCGGTTTTGCACGACAAATAGACAATCTGCGATTTCGGATCCAGGTTACCAAGTATTCTTGTAAGCTTTTCGACCGTATCCCTTTTCACCTCTTCGCATTCATTGTTCTCAACCAAATCCCATTTGTTGCAGACAAACAACGTACAGGCATCTGAAAGTGACAAATCCAAGTTGGCGTTTTTCCTCAGATTTTGAGCACACATGAGTAGCTTTCCCAACTTAAAAGACAAAAGAAAAACCAGATAAGACCTAGGAATATTGACACAGCATTACAAACTTCATATTCAACTCTTAGTTAATTAGTTCTTACACCTATGCGTGGCAAATATGGTCTGAGACGAAATGTTTCAACTATCCTGCGCTCGCAAATATAGAGCCAATTACTAATGGGATATTATAGAAAAATTCACTGCCTGACGAGTGAATTCCATGTTAAATTTCACGCTAAAAACCGATATCGCACGAATCCCTCGTAATTGAATAAAAATAAGAAAAAAAGGAAACAGTAATGTATTGTTTTTTTTTTGTCCTGAGCTCACGCCCCAAAAAGCCATTTCAAAGTCAACTGTCAGAACTGTCAACGCGTTAGCGAATAGGAACAAGGTCAGTCGTACACGTTTGAATCTTATTATCAAGTTATTATAAAGTTATCGAAGTTCGATAACTTTATTTGTACCTTGTGCTTGTTTTTACATTTGTTTTCAAAAATTTCAAACAAGCTTCACGCGATCTTAAGAATAATAGTGGTATTTCACTGAATTTACATGCTGTTTATCTCTAACATCTTTTTGCAAATTTCCAAATCATTTGCTCGAGAAGGAAAATGATTTAAACCTTTTACATCTTTGCTGACAAAACTGAAAGAAATGACGTGTCTAAGCGAAAGCATTGAAAATTTAACATCGCTATTAAAGGTATTTAGTCCTTCTACTTTATATATGACAATCGACCTTGGCACTTCTTCCGTTGTCGCTTCTTCGTCTCGCTCGGTTGAACTATTGCTTGCCATTTTCTAGGCCGTGTTCACAGGATTTTCTTACTTTCTCGTTGTGGCGAGCGAAAGAGGATTTTTTATACCTCTCCAAGAATTTTTAGTTCATTTCAAGATGGGGAAGAACTCTGGCTCACTTTGAAGAACGCGTTTGTTCGTTTTTGGCTCTTCAAAAGGTGACCAACCTGTTTGGTTTCCTTTAACGATGCTTGTTTGGTTTTCCTCGGCAAGAACTGTCGTTTGGCTTTCTTCCCTCGTCTCTGCCATTTTTTCTTTTTTCTTCAATGCTTTTTCTAGTAATTTTGAGTGTGAGAGGTTTCCTCAAATTTTCTAAAAATTTTAATTTTAATTCAAAATTTGGCAGACATTCATTTTCTGTAAATTTGTTCTTTTACAACGTGATATTTTTCGTAGCACGAGTTGCATTTTTGTTTTCAAGATAGCAACAATTTTTGCTCGCGACCCACGTCAGCAATATTCCTTCATGCACAAGTGCAATTCCACGCTAAATATCTTCTCTTCGATAGCCAACAGACCGCGAGTTTAACTTTGGCTATGCGATTCTTCGGAAAATACCTTTCATTACGTTATATAAACAATAGCCTCTATTTGGCGCAAAAATATCCACGGATAATTGTCCATGGACATTATGTGTTCCAAAATGCGAACAGTTTTCCGAGAGCGAAGCTCGAGGAAAATTGTGAACTACGAGGAACAGACAATGTCCAAGGACAAACATAAGTGCATGTTTTAGCACATAATAGAGACTATTGTGTTTATTATCCAACGTGCGTGGAAAAAACTTTTACGAACAGCTTCCTGTATGCAGTGTGGAATGTCAAGTACGACTTAATAAACAAAATGTATGCTGACCCATCCCCTTCCTCCCAAGTAATATTTCATAATTTTTTTGGAGAATTTGTAAATGCAATGCACCGGCTGAAAACCAATCAGCAATTTGTGTTGCCAGTTTTGATGCTTTATAAAGTAAGCGAACCGAAGAGCCGTACAGTGTCTGGCGACACATACTTGAAAATATGACTGATAAGGATGTTATATTCCTCTAAAAAAAAAAGACTAATCAGTTTAAATTGATGTTGACTATTTATGATATTAAAGAGTTGATAAAATATAGAACCTCTCTAATGCGTTGGTCCAGCGTTGGGTCTACATAAGTATAATCAAGTGGGAAAGAAGCATCTCACCATACTAATGAGCATGGTGAAGACCATTTCTATTATCTCTCTGACATTTTTAAACAGTGCTCAAAGCTGAAACTGAGATTTAGGACAACTTCTATTTTTAAGGAATTACAGAAAGCAATAATGAAACAGTACTTTGTCATCATTCTTAGGTATCATTCTCCTGTGGATGTGAGGCCCACTTTTAATGGACCTCTTCTAAACTTATTATGAATGGTAATGGACCCAGTGGAGTCCAATTTCGGTCTGTAGTCATATGAGTTATTAAAAAATCTGACGACCGCGAAGCGGGAGTGCTATTTTTAATCACGAGTATGATTACAGACAGAATTGAAGGACACTAAGACCTTTCTGTAATTAATCAAAACCATGACAAAATTCGAGAAAGAAACTAGACGTCGGTTATCTGTTTTCATAAAAAAACAAAAGTTAAACTGGCGCCCCCTTCTGTCCAGTTATACTGGCAACTGGTTAACTGTGCATTTAACTGTCCTATTACACTGTCCAATTACAAGCGTGAGGCGGACACTTTCTTAAATTTAGTGCTCAAATCGGGCTGGTGATAACCAGTCACGTTCGAGTATTTTGTTATAGTTTTGATTAGGTTTTTAATACCCAGTGTTTGTTGTCCTTACCCTGTCGGGCTGAATTCCTCCAGCATTGGACGTACAGAGAACGTACATGAAACAAAAGGCCCGCGGCAGGTAGTTGAGAACAAAACTACTCATGACATCGCTTTCTCCTACACCAGGGCTGTCAACGATCATTACATTTTCCTGAAATTGAAACATTAATCTGTAATAAGATTCGCTGCCCTATAATATTTATGTGGGTTATTATTGTAGATGAGTTTATTGAAATATTATTTACCATGACCAGCATTTCTCAAAAGTTTTTTTTTTTCAAAATTTCGTCATGGTAAGCCACTACCTTACTAAGATTCTCGCACCTTTATTTAATGCATAGTAACCGAAAAAGCCATGGAATTTGGAACAAGCATTCATTAGTCCGTTTCACTGGAATTACTTTCACCTCACACACCGCTAATTTTTTTGCAGAAATAAGCATTTTCAATCTCCATAATCTAACTTTATAGTTAATTCCATACAGCTACCTGCAGAGGTTTACTTTTTGGTCCTGAATTTTTTAATACCGAAGTTTTGTCAGAACTTTTTTGCTTAGTCTATCAACTTCGTTAGTACCTTAAACAAAGGGTGCGGAAAAAACAGTTCAATTTTCTCGTAAGGTGCTTTCTCTCGATCTTCTTTGGCATACACAAACTTTTCTATTTGTTCTTTGAAGGTTTTCCTTCCATTATTCAACTCGTGGAATGCTGGTTCAGGAATTTTTGTTCCAGTAGGCTTGTAGTGTACACCAACCATCGGCTTTTCTCCATATTTCAGCTCGCAAATTGTGGACGTGGTACTCAATGTTTTAGAGGGAAGAAGGTCTTCTCCCAAGATGAGATTAATGACACTGCTTTTTCCAGCGCTAGTCTCACCTAATCAAGAGAGGAATAATATAATAGAAGACAATGACCAAGCATAATCGAAGCCTGAAAGCGTCAAAGCAAGATAAAAAAACACTACCAATGAGCAAGATTTAAGTCATCTTGAACTGGCTTATCAAATTAGAGACTAAGTATGAGAGAGCATGATAACAAACAAAACAAAGGCCAAACTACCTTAGAAATTTCTAGATATTGCCCTCTCTTGCAGAGAAATATATAACAATTTAGAATAAATATTGTTGTCTGTTAACGATGACAGTGATGCAAAGGAAAGTGAATTAAGATGCTGATGGCGTTTGTTCGTAGCTTCTCGAGATGATAGCTCGTCCATAACGATTGCGACTGCATCCCAAGTCTAAGCGAACAAAGTAGTTATAATCATGACGAAACTGATGTCTCTTTTACTGATGACAGCAACACATACCTGCAACAAGAACAACATACTGATCACTTGGTTCAACATTCTGCTTTCTCTCTTGCAAAGATTTGTTTAGGTCTTCGAAGCTTTTTTGAAATATTTCCAAAAAATCCTCCTCAAACTGACCCATAAACTGCTCAGTTCTTTTGTAAAGATCGAGTAACTTTCTGCGTTTGTCAGCATCAGATTTACCAGCATCGGAGATAACTACGTGTGTCTGCAAGTAAAAAGATCTTAATCAAAATTGTTAAAGTTAGTTAGTACTAAACACATTTGATCCAAGTGAACACAAATAACGCTGCTAAACTGTTTTTTCCCATAGGAGGCCGCCTGAGTTCACGACTAATAACACTGCTAATTTTGAACACCTCGAGAGTTTCAGTGTTGTAAAGCAGCGCTAAATATGGCATGTTTGATGAGGTTTTTTTTTCGAGAAACCTATTGCATATACTTAGCTGTTGTTTAACGACTTAAACAGAAGTCACTCTTTATGTATTGAACTAGCCGGGCTACCTCTCTGCGAGTAAGCACCAGGCCCCCTTGACCCGCAAGCGATTCTTTTAAATATTCCATGGATTACATAAATAAAACAATTGTGCAGTCTGTATAAATTCCGGGTCGAAATATTACTTCGACCACGTTCTCAACCCACGGTGATAAGTTTGAAAAAAAATTATTATTTATGGACAAAACTCTTATGGGGAGAGGGGATGCCCTTTTCGATCAGCAAATTTTGCAGTTGATGAATATTCTTTCCGAGGATACGAAGACCTCAGAGCAAAGGACTGAAATCGGCACTATTGTTTCAAATCATAGGTTTTAATTGTTGAATAGTAATGAAAATAAAGCTATCGATCTACATGTACAGTTAGGAGAACCAAATGCAACATGCGCTATGTATACCGGTATCGATAGATTCTTGCGTTGCCTCATTCTTGATCACGCATTTCATGGCAATGTTTTATGAATTTATCTCGCTATCTAGCAGTTCACAAAGACTTCAAGGAGTACAAAGCTAAATATAATTTTGAATGATAATTATTGGTGAATGATTGTAATGATTCCTTGCAGAAGCTACGGTTTTCCATTACGACTTCCGTAAGTTGTGGTCAGTGTTGATATTTTAAAATTGAATTTTACCTCATTATGGTCTTAAAACATTCATAATATAACGCAAGAATAAAAATGGATAGATTTGCTTTAAAGCAGCAAAACAAGCGAAACAACGTGTACTCCGACAGCTTAGATTTACATATAGTCGGATAATTTACCATATTCTGCACAAATATCTGTGATTCTGTACTAAAAAGTGTCATTGTGATCACATACCTCTCCAATCTTTCGCGACGAAGTCTCTTCCAACTCTTTTAAATGCTCACGAAGTTTGCTCTTCATCTCATCTAGTGAATTTAAGCCTCTTGTTGAAAGACCGAAAGATTTCATTAATTCGCAAGCTTTTAACATCTCGTCTATGGTATCCACTTTCTCCAGCCCCGTAGACATCATGCGTTTTTGACAAAATTCTCGAGAAGTCACGTCAACAGTAGCGTATTTTTTCAAATGGCGTCAGATAATTCCCAATGCAAGTTACTTCTTTTAAAAACCCCTCGTAATGTTGCATTCATTAAATCCTAGTTATCCATTTACCAGCCTATAGAGGTCCTCAACGGGTGATTTAAAGTCGCTGTGCACTAAAAAATCCTTTTCATGGCTACAAAACTGTACAAGAGCACTTGATCTGTTAACAGACCATAATACTCTTCTCAGACAGTTGGCGCTCTGAAATTCAACGGTGGATCTATCTTGAGTATCCCATTAGACGCTTAAAAAGTGCCTGTACGATGCGTTTACGAAATAAGTACAAAAGGCAGTAATTCAGTTTGCAAAGATCATAATACGCATACCGCAAATGCAAAGATCATTGCTCCTTGCCTAAAGAAATAAAAAATAACAGATTTCATATAGACATAATTCTGAGAAAACTGTGATGGTTTTTCTGGGAACAAAGGGAAGTCCCTGTCATGACACATTTGTCACAGGCACAGATGGGAAACGGGCTTTATAAGTCTCTATCTAATCTCTCTCATTTATGGTTTCTTTTTAAGCAGTTGTATTCCATTATGTATCAGTATTTAAAAACGCTGGTAAATTGATTGGCACGATGTAACTCCACTTCAATCTGTAATACAAGAGCAAAAATCAGATAATTCAAGACGAGTAAAGATTGCTTGTATGTCACGGTTGAACGACATGGCTGTCATCACCACGAGCTGCCAGCCGATGAAATGATAAAATCTGCGACACTAATAGCAATCAGAAGCGATTTCTTAGAAAACAAAATCGTCGTAAAAATGTTATCTCTCTTCGCTTTTCCGTCCATGTTTATTACAGGATTCTAATAACTTTCGAACGTGTGCGGTTTTCAACAATGGATTCATGGTTGATTCACGCTAAATAGCTTTGGAATGTTTGATTTCTGTAAATAGAGAAAGAACATCTGTTTTTCCGAGGTATAGTTCTGTTAGAGGCCGATGTAGCAACACGATTAGACTTTGATTATACTTAAAGTCAGCCGGTGATTGGTAACTCAGAGGAGCAAAGCGGTTAATAACCCTAGTACTTTCGCCTAAAAATTTCTATTTTATCAGGTTCTAGAACGAATTCACTGCTTCGAAGGTCGCTAAACGTAAACATGACATGAAACCTTGGTTACCGTAAGTCAACGCGTGATAATTCTAGGAAAGTAGGTCTTGCAAACAATCCCAAAAGTTGAAGATTCATTCTCTACTGGGAGCCGTGTGTTCAATTTTCTAAAGAAAAAAATGGAAGCCATCAGACAAAAATTGAATGAGGCAGATGACATCGCCGAGGTTATCGATTCAATGCAGAATTTAAGCATTCTAATTAAAGGATGGAAAAACATCGAGGACATGAAAGAAAGGATGCTCACTCATCTGAGCTCTCAAAATGAGGTAAGACTGTCAGGGCAATTATTTAATTTTACAAACTTAAACTTGGCTGCAAGTATCCTTTAATGCTATTCCTTTGATATGTGCCTTTCGAAAGCGATTCGATGAATGTTTATACTAAACTTATCATCACATCGCAGTAGCTTATTGACGTGGCGTCGTAAAACGAATGGCTCAGAATCTATGAGGAATTCATGTATCATGTATAGTTACTTTCTAAGACACCTTGCAGTGACAGAGTTTTATTTTTCTTGCGCGATTAAAACTACTGCAAAGAATTCAAAGAAACAAAGAAACGCAACTTGATCCTTAAATTCAGCTCTATAATTTCATGTCTGTTCGGGTACTGATCAGTGGATCAATCGACCCAACATAATACAGAAGAATAGCTACAGATCGCTCGCTTGTAAATTTGTATAATATATATATTAATTCTGAGCCTCAATCTGGCTCTGAACTTTTTACTCGGAAACATCTAAAGACCACTATTCTCTTTGTTGTTTTTGTTTCATGTCATGGCTCAATGGTTCGGCCGCTTGCCATTGCTGCAATGTCATTGCCGCCAAAGTAGTCGGGCTTCTGCCTTAAAGAACTTGCTTTTAGCTTTTAAACTCACTGTTACGAGTAATCGAGCGTTTGCACTCTTCCTCGGTCAGTTATCGGTCGAAAGCAGTAACAATTAAACGAAAACTATCAAGCTCGCCATACGAAAAATATGATTAACTCTGGTAATATCATAATAGCATCATGAGGCAAAAAACCTCATAGTCATTTGGCTGACAGCTCACAGAGTGAAATTGAAATTAGCTAGGCTCAGCTTTACATTTTTTTTCCGATCAGTGAATTCACAACAGCAGGCAGACAGACAGATCTCGAACACAAAATGAAGTAATTACCTTACTCCTTTCATGCAATCTCAAAATTTAATTGTAATTCATCTGACTCACGGTGTCTTCCATTTGTTTCTTGCAAGGTTAGTTGAGAATTAAACTAACAATACTGAAACCCTATCTAACATTTTTCTTTTCTACTTGAAAACGATATTACCGATATATCCAGAAAAAGAAAATAGTTGGCGTTGATGAAATGTCATGTCATTCGGTGGAACTAAGCTGTAGGTGGCAGAGGCAGAAAATGAAAATAATTTCTTCCTGACACAAACAAACTCTCTTGTTGTAGTGTATGTGAGGTCTGACAGTAATAATTTATGCATCTTAGCCACTGAACATCAGGTGAGTTCTTGCTTGATGGACGTTCAAGCATCTCGTTAACGTTTTTATACTCTGAATTATGAAAGCATAGTTAGTATATGTGGTGAACAGCACTCAATCTTTGACCTTTAAAACCGGAAAGATTACGTCGAATAACTCGAGCTCAAGAATATGGGTGAGAGACTTTTGGGCAATTTAATTTTACTTATGGTAAAATTTCAAACAAATATTGATTGTTTAAGAAGGAACCTAAGATTGACGATTTAAGCAATGATCAATTTGCATTTTATTTACGCTTTTGCCTGCACTGGTCTTACCTCACCAAGAATGAGGTTCAACCTTGGTTGGACCTAATTCTTGGTGAGGAGCTTTTGCCGTTTTCGGTTGTGAGTACAACATTTACAATTTGTTAATTGAAATATGGAAGAGAGAAAAGGATAAAGATACACTATAAAGAAAAAGGAAAAACTCCGAGATTTGGCAACTAAATTTCAGGACCCTATTCCAGGTTTTAACGCCGAACGGTCAAAAGAAGCACAGGGAGCAAAGAACCTGATTACTCTGTTTCCACAAAAGGAAAGGCTCGTAGCAAAGGTAGCGGTGTGGCTTCAACTACCTTCTTTTATACTTATGGTCGAATCATAGGCTATGATAAGTGAAGAAAGCTAAGGCGTTGCAAAAAGTAGCGTCTACATTAAGAACTATTTCCTGGGCAGCAAAGATTCCAAGTTATGATACAATTCCAGGAAATCTCGATTTCTACCGATGCATTCATTTTAGATCACGTAACTGACTACATAGTAACTAAATATAAATCAAAGGAGAGTTTGTAGAAATTAGTATAAGGGGCGTTTCAAAACTAACGTCACTGAATGGTCTAAACTATATCATGTATAGTTTCTTTCTAAAACGTCTTGAAGTAACAGATTTTTACTTTTCTTATGCGATTAACGCTATTGCAAAGATTTCAAAGAAACATAGAAACGCAACTTGATCCTTAAATTAAGTTCTATAATTTCATGTCTGTTCGGTTACCGATCAGTGCATCAAACGACCCAAAATAATACAGCAAAACGGCTGCGAATCGCTCGCTCGTAAATTTTTACAATATATGTTAATTCTGAGCTTTATCAAGTTATTGTCTCATACTAGCTTCGAACTTTTTACTAAGAAACACCTAAAGACCATTATTGTCTTTGTTGTTTTTATTTCGTGTAGTGGCTCAATGGTTCGGCCGCTTGCCGTTGCTGCCATAGCCTTACTGCCAAAGTAGTCGGGCTTCTGCCTTTAAGAACTTCATGCTTGAAGCTTTTAAACTCTCTGTCACGAATAATCGAGAGCGTTTGTACTCTTTCTTTGTCAGTATTCGGTTGAAAAAAGTACCAATTACAGTGAAGCTATCACGCCAGCCACATGAGTAATTGTGGCAATATCATGACAGTATCATGTGGCAAAAGACCTCATAGTCATTTGGCTGACAGCTCACCGAATGAAATGGAAATTAGTTAGATTTGGGGCTCAGCTATATATTTTTTTCTGATCAGTGAATTCACAACAGCAGGCAGACAGTCAGGCCTCGAGCACAAAATGAAGTAGTTATCTTAGTCCTTTCAACCTCAAAATTCAACTGTAATTCATCTAACAGTGGCTGCCATTCTTGCAAGGTTACTTGAGAATTAGACTAACAATAAACCCTATTTGACATTTTTTTTTGTTCCTATCTCCTTTCTTCTTGAAAAAAAAAATTGGTGGCCTTGATGAAATGTATTGACATTCGGCGGAACTAAGCTGTAGGTAGCATATAGAGGAAATATAATGAAAATATTTTCCTCCGGGCACGAACATGCTCTTTTGTTATAGTGTATGTGAGGTGTGACGGTAATAATTTACGCATCTCAGCTCTCGAACTTTCAGTTTTAATTAAAACAGGTGAGTTCTTGGTACATGGACGTTCAAGCATTTCGTTAAAGTTTTTTATACTCTAAATTATGCGTGCATGGTTAGTATATGTAGTGATCTGTACTTAATCTTTAACCGAAGGTCGGCGCAACTGCATTTGGTTGGGAAATACCTTCCTATTTTACCTGTGGGTTTTTTGGTTTTTCGTAATAGGCGAGTGTTCGTTTGCCTTGTCCAAGTGTTGCAAACTATGCTTCGATTCCCCTTGTTAAATACAGCTACTTACTTGAGCTTGTATTTCTGTACTCACACGGACGGCAGTAAACACTCGGTTCGAGCTGCACACCCATACATTTGTCGATTTTAAGTCGCGAATAGGAATAAGCGGTAATATTAGCTTTTTTCTCTTCTAGCCTAAATATAACAATTAGTCTATATATACTCATTTGTTTCTTTAACCCATTGATATTTATCCGTGTTTCAGGCCTTTAAGGTGATTTCAGAGGCAAAATCAAGGGAAATACAGGGTCTTGACGCTACCTTCCTCGATTTGCTGAAAACAAGCGAGGGCGACGTCCTTTATAAAATCAAGACAAGAATAAAAAGAATGGAAGACAGAGATTATGTTGTTCTTGTAGCAGGTGAATATCTTGAATATAATGCGTAACCCAAACCACCGAGGTGCTTTGATCATGATCATGCAGAGAAACAACGGGTGTAACAGTGACAGAAAGGAGTATCAAAAATCTACTTGGCCAGGACGTTTCTCGGTTTATTTTAATAATTTGTTTTAACAAAACTGTCAATTAGGGTTTATCGAATTCTTAAGCCGGAGAGTCTATTTATGTGGCGACTTGTAAGGCTCTGACCTTTAAAACCGGAAAGATTACGTCAAATAACTCAAACTCGAGTATGTGGGCGGAACACTTTATGACAATTGTACTTTACTTATGGTAAAGTTTCAAACTAATATTGATTGGTTAAGGAAGAACTTGAGATTTAAGATTTGAGTAATGACCATTTTGCATTTTACTTACGCTCAGGGGAGACCAGTCCAGGCAAAAGCAGCATGTTGAACCTAGTTCTTGGTGAAGAGCTTTTACCATTTTCAGTTCTTAGTACAACATCTACGATATGTGAATTGAAATATGGAAGAGAGAAAAGGATAAAGATACACTATAAGGAAGAAGGAAAGGCTCCGGAGACAAAGTATTTTATAGAATCCTCGCCTCACATAGATCAAATATCAGAATTTGTTCATGTCAAGTCTGCAAGTTTGAGAGAAAAAGGCATCAAGTTACAAAAATATGGAACTGTTTTGGCCTCACAGATTATTACAGGTTAGAGACTCCGACGATCGTGCTTCAAACCATACTTTTATAAATATGATGTAAGGTGACACCTAAATTTCAGGAACTTTTTTGGAGTTTTAACGCCAAATGGTGAGAAGAATTACATGGAGAAAATAAACTTACTTACTCTGTTTCCACACTAGGACGGTGTTGTAATCGTTGACAGCCCTGGCGTCGGGGAGTCTGACATTATGGACGATATTGTTGTGAACTACTTGCCAAATGCCTTTGCTTTCATCTATGTCATCAACAGCAGCAATGCCAGAGGAGTTCAAAAAGATCGGGTGGGTAATTATTGTTACTTTCTGTAGTGACTACCGCAAAATCCTTTCAACTCCTCACCAGTGCTCGATCTATTTTTTTAAACCACGATTTTTGTAGATAGCTCAAAGAGCTCAAAAAGCTATCTCATTAAAGCCCTACGTGTTGATTGAATCATTCTATACAGCTTGTTTCCTCATTTGTTAGCTTGTTCGACTTCTGCACAAAACGAGGGAACTCACAAATGAACAGCAAATGGAATTCTCACCAAACTACACTTTGTTCGTTTGCAACAAGTGGGACACCATACCAACCTCAGAGGGAGATGTGGTCATAGCGCACATAATCAACAAGTTGAGTCAGTGTTTGCCAGATGTCGACACAAATACTCAAATTATCCGCATTTCAACTACTAAAGCTCTTGTGGCCCAGAAGTATGGAGTCATGAATTCAGAATTTGCCTCACCTACAGACAAGATTGGCTGTTTGGTTTCGAAAAACATCGAAACAAGACTTGAACAACATTGGAGGTAGTTTAGATCATTTCTAAATGTATATTTATCATGAAGCTATTATTTATTAGGCAAAAACCACCTCGTTCAGTCATGGCCTGTCATCAAGATTTCTTTCTTTCCAAAAAAATTCACTGCTATAAACGAATGTAGTTGTACAAGTCTACACTTCTTCCTGATTGCTTAAACACTCCTCTCAACGGGCCTGCTGTGTCACTTGCGTTAATTCAAGCCAAAGAAGTTTAAGGCGAAAGAAGTCATATCCGAGGGGCAGTAATTGAGGGATAGATAGAGACCTACCCCTCTGAATTTCCATACAACAAAAGTGTGAAAATGATAGAATCTTGCAACATTCCTTTCATGACGTTATGCCTCTCTACTAGAGCAGCTACTCTTCACCCATCTCTTGCAAATATATGAGGAATAGATGCATGGACGGCTACCTTAAAGAACCAGGAGCCTTTCCAAAATTTTTTTTTTAGAGAAATCGGGAAAAAATATGTACCTGCGGTATAGAATTAAAAAACATCCAACTTCCTTGTACGTTCAACTGTTTGATTCTTCCTTAATTTGTACAGCTGGCTAGATCTTTTGCTGTCTCGAATAATCTGGCTGATGAGTACATTAATAACAAATATCTCCAGTGACCATGTGGCTGCAAAAGATAGATTAAATGCTGGGATAGAGAGGCTGAAGAAACTTCAAGCGGAACAAGAGTCATCGAAGGAGGCAATGACGCGATATCTTGAAAGCAGGACTCGTCAGGCCATCAACACCTTAATCGACTACCTACAGACTCCCCAAGTGAAAGAGAGATTTTGCAAGTGGAACTCTGACGAGCTTCCAGCTGTCGAGAAGTCATGGGAAGTTACTGAGGCTGCCCTTGTTAAGCTTCTTCAAAGAAGATTACAGATATTGATTGAAGAATAGGAGGAAGAGCAGCAAAGGTTTGCTGAGGCACGGAAATCAGTCATCCAAGAGTTCCTCGAAAAATACAATTATCTGGAGAGGGAGCTTCGCAACGTGGAAGTCAATGTTTCACAAATACAAGTACATGTTGAAGAAGAAACGGCAGGCGAAAGTGTAGAGGATCACGTTTTCAACAGCAAGTACAACTTTTCGCTTCCATTTGAAAGTAAACTTTTTCTTGGAATAGCGATTCCTTTTATGGTTCCACCTCTTCTTGTTGGAGCTGCGTTTGCTGTTCCAGTAACACTGCTCCTTCTTCCAATGGTGGGAATTAAATCTATTGCCGACAACATCAAAGAAAGAAAAAGGCAGAGTTCATACAATAAAGATCGCGCTGAGTACGTGCGAATCATGGCACAAAAGTTTTTAGGGAAGGCTGCAACCTTCGAGGCACTAAAGCCACTGGTCGAAGGGCAATTGGAGCTAGCTGTAAACACCCTGAATGACCTGCAAGCGAGAATCCCCATGCTTGTTGAGGCCGATGTTAAACTTTGTCAGCAACTTATGGAGGAGGCACATAGCAAGAAGGATTCTGAAGCTCGCTACAAGTCCTGTAGAGACAAATGCAGCCGTTTGCGCGGTGAGCTCGCGTTGTTTGGTTCTATGGAATCTGGTGCATGCGGCTCTCCTGGGATGACCTTTCTTGGGATGTCAGCGAGGATGTCTACTTGAAGCGACCTATGGAACCTGGGCTCTACCAAGGGCGCATTTCCAAGGGCAGGTACTCATCAAGTAGCCAAGTATCATTTTTTATCAAACATTCAACTAACAAAACAAACTTGCTTTTTTTAGGATTCAGAACACGCGTTATGCTAGTAACATTTCGGTATTCTCCCTAAAATACCTAAGTCACTTTAATAGGTGTGTTGAGCTATTTTCCCTGAAACATGACACTTGTACGGGCATTCCTCCTTTAACGTACAGTTCTGTTCGATTTAGTCTAGAATTAATTTTTACCGGTGCAGAGCCCTACCAACCTAGCGAACAAGCCAACTGAGAGCTGGTCGTTGTGTTGATTCGTAATCAACCGCCACCGCAGAGGTCATGGGTCCAAATCCTGTACAGGCCTAAATGTTTTCAGGCCTTATTTTCAGTACTGCTTGAGTAGTGTTCATTACTGCGAAGATCACTTTCATATTTATTTCCTAAACCCCAATTTACATGTATGATTTTCATATGTTCACAATTTTTCAGAAAATATTTTCCTACTTTCACTACTCATTTTGTTGTCACTCCTACCACGTCCAAAGTTGAAAGTTGTTCACATATTTCTTGTGTTTGTTGTTTACTCCACAGGAGGCTTCGCCATCCTCACATTGTCAAGTTTTACGGTGCTGTTTTTAGAAAGGTTCCAAGAGGTTTAGAAGCAGCCTTTGTAGCTGAGTGTCCAGGAGTTGATTTAAAGAAACATCTGATCGATCAACCCAGAAATTGTCCTGCGAAGAATCCCGTGGCAACGATGGATGTGATTCGCTGGGCAGACCAAGTCGTCAAAGCACTGATGTCGATTTAAAGCATGTTTGACGGATGTGTTCACGGTGACCTTCGGTTAAAAAACGTTTTGGTAGGGAAATATTTCATTTTTTAATAAAAAGTTTTGTTTTACATTGGTTTCACACTCAAAGAAAAAATTGTAAATTTAAAAACTATCAGAGCGCGGACACAAATATAGCTCTCATAAGACTTCCAAGGTCTATGACTCGCAGTAAAATAAAGGTTTGGATTATTTCTCTCTCCCGTGTGCACGGAGCTTTTCTCGTTCAAGGACTTCCACGTCACTGGGTTAAAACTTAGTTTTATGGGCTGTCTTTAAGTACATTTTGATCTCGACTAAGCCAGGCCAAATAGCTTGCAATTAGACCCTCACACTTTTGAAAAGCTAAATCAATTATAACTGCGAAGTAATCACTTCATGTGCATCTACGCTACTATCATCTATTGCATAACTTGCTCTTATTGCAAAAAGTCATACATTGGTGAAACAGGAAGACGACCAGGTGACCGATTCCGAGAACACCTTCACGACGTAGAAGGAAATGCAAGGCAAATCCAAACCAGTCGCTAGACTCTTGATCTCCCTAATCATTCTAAACAGCATATGGCAGTTTGCGGCCTTTCCTTACATCTAGGGAATTCGGGAGGCCGAAAAATTTTAGAACAAAAGTTTATCTCTCAAAACGGCGCCCTTAATCCCCACGGTATCAACGAGCACTTTTCATTCAACTAATGAAGTAAGCTATTAAACTGCCTACGATGGCCAATTTACGTTATGAACTCAGTTGCCATTACCAAACTACCCTGTTATACTCGCCCACCGATGCAGCGCCACAGTTCTGTAGAAACTTACCCCCTTTATTCAGTTATATAAATCTATCTCATAACATCGAAAAGCAGATGAAGACATAACTGCTTTGTTCATAAGTAAGTGTGTTTCAACCAAACTAGTGACCTTTGCCTAGTCAGAAAGTGGAATCATACTCAGTTTTGTTCTATTTCTTTAGGTGAGATCCAGTGTACTCTTTAGAAATGCTAGTCCACCAAGACAAAACCACTATTTATTGAGTTGCTTTTTATCATCAATTTAAATCATTTTTTTGGTCTTATTTTACATAGCTTGACGGTCCCAATGTCCGTGATATTAAGCTGAGCAACATCTCCCTCAGGAGGCAGCTGACCATCGAGCCTGGATCAAAGTGTGATGTATTTCTTCATCTTCCGCCAGAAGTTGTGCGAAATAGAAACTACAATGCCTCTTCAGAGATTTACTCCCTCGGGATCTTGTTCTGGGAAATGTGGTACGGCAAAGAAGCCTTTGATGCTTTAAAAGGTAAAAAGATGGAAGAATTTTTATCAGTTGTAGAAGGAGGCCATCGTCCCGATCTTGGAGGTCTCACAACTCCGACATCAAATCGGTGGGCTACTCTCATTTCAGGTTGCTGGGAAAAGACGGCCTCAGAAAGAAAAAGCCTCGCAGATTGTAAGTCAACTATTATGGGAATTTTAGCTAGTCAAAGGTAGAGCCTATCCTGGAAAAAAAACAAGATGCTTCAACTCGGTGTAAAAATAGACTTAAAATTCAAGAAAGCATTGAAAGCAACTCAGATTGGGCTGGTTAGCCTCAAACCCTGAAGTTAACTATAAACTGGGGAAGTTACAGTCCTATCCTTTGTATCGAATAATAGACATAATCTTTTAAACAAAAACAGTCTTAATTTTGGTTTGTGGCCTTTCTTTGTTCTACATAGATTTTTTTTCCTTTTTTGGTTTCATTTGTGTTTTAAACCATTTTTAATTGCTTCTGTGATCGGGACATGCCCTTTGTTTTCCTAACGCATGCTAGTGTCCGAGGAAACTCTATTGCAATCGCCATTGGGAAAATTATAAAATCTTAGGAGATAGTTTATCCTTCCCACCACATTAG